TTTTTATTTTTGCTTATGTGGTGCTGAGGAATCGAACCCAGGGCTTCAGGCATGCAAGGCAAGCGCTCTACCACTGAGCCACCTTCCCAGCCCCATACTTAACTTTTGTAAACAAAGCATACCATATCTAAGTAGAGAAGTGTAAGTGGAGAATGTGTTTTGCTTGCTTAAAATAAAGAAAATAAAGTGGACAAATAATTGAGACTGTATTGGGAAATATTAGGAAAGCATTAGTGATGCTAGTCCCACACTTAAAATTTGCTTTACTAGAATCAAGTTAACAGATGAGCAGTTTTTCCCTAAATTTCTCACCCTTGTGATTCAGTGTCATTTGTGTTTTATTGTGTGTGTGTTTGTGGGTATGTGTGTGTATATATACAATAAAAAATATATTGATGGCTACCATGAACACGCTCAGAATGGTAGTGACCGTAGTGGTATCTAATGACACAGAAAGCCAGAAATGGCTTTCTGTCAGCGTGTCAAAGACGGGGGCCATTTCCCATGTGTTACTCCATACACGGATAGAGCAATGGGTGGCAGGTAAATGGAGTCATGTTTCATCCCAATGAAGTAAACTGTTTCTGCAGTAAGCTAATATCTGCAGTTCACCAGGGGAAAACTGCTAATCTGGGTGTCTCGTGCCCTGTGACCCTTAAAGGCCTTGGATCTAGAACTTCTGACCCATTTAGGGGTTGAGCCATTACCAGTCAGGATTTTTGGTTACAGGCAACAGAAAGTGATTCAGATGGGCTCAAATAGAGTACGAATTGACTAGAAGGGTGTTAGATGAAACTTCATCTGAGGCTGAGAAACTTTGAAAAAGAAATAGCCAAAAGACACATCGAGGTCTAACTGGAATCTCTCTCATGCTATAGCATTTCCCCCCAAGTACAAAGAGCGTTCTGTGTCGAGTCACCACAGCAGTGCACAGTCTGCGTATAAACTGGGACCATTTATAAGTTAAGGAGCCAGAGTGTCTGGTGTTTAGGTGATCAAGGAAAATAACCTAGGATTCGAACTGTGCGCACCTGCCGTCTGTGCCTTGCGAAGTGGTGACTTAGAGGTCGTGCAGGAGATCCCCGCTCCGGGTAACACCGGAAGGAGGCCGAGTCTACCGCTGCTGTTGTAGCTTTTCCCTACAGTAAAGATTAGCTTGATTTGAGGTTTCTTTGTTTTCAGCTAAAGTACATGTCTTAAAATATAATTTCTTCTCAAATGTTGTCGACCTTTGCTAAAAGTTGGGAAATGAGTGAAGGGCACGCCTTGTGCAAGCATGTTGGCCTCTCCAGGAGCAGCCATCGGTCTGGGGCACCTGCCTGGAAATCATCTGTGGTTATTTCATATCAATACCATGATTTTATTCTTTCTGTAAGTTGAGAAGAAATTGAGAAATACCACTTTCTAGTCAAGTGTCCAGGGGCTCTGTTTTATTCCAACCATTAGAACTAGCAATAAAGAAATGGAGGAAAGGTGGTAGCAGAGGTTATTTTTTAGCACTTCTTTCATGTGTATTTGCTTCTACTGTGGAGATGATGTACAGGGGTATGACAGTTACACAGGTCACCCCCACGAGTTGTACGGTTCATTTTCAGCACAGTGTCTGGTTCGTGTCACTGCTGCATGCGTTCACGCTTTGTCCCACCATGTATGTGCTATACTTTGTTTTCCTGACTGGGTGTGAACCTCTGCTGACAGACAGGGCAGACACGTGTGTCGGCCTGAGCTCCTGCGGTTGATCAGAAACTGCACGTGGAGACAAGTAGAGAGGGACCTGGAGTAATTCACTTCAATTTTACCCCCATCATCCTGACTTACTCCGTCTCCTCCCTGATACTTGCGAAGGAGGAGGAGAGAGCAAAGCAGGCCCAGCACAGCTCAGTCCTCCCGAGTTTCCTCTCCTATAGCTTCTTCACACACAGCCCGCAGCAGGGGCTTGCTGTTCACCACGTGTGAACTCTTGCTCGCTTGACAGACCTGTGGTGGTTTGCGGTTCCTCCGATGCTCTGTGGCGTGGAGGAGCGTGAGGCGTCACCTGTGGTTGATGGAGGATAGGAAAGGGATCTGGGGTTGAGCTACACGTGAAAGCACTCCACCCCATCTGCTGCCGCCGCCTTTGCCTCCAGGTCCAGAGCGTTTCCTAGGAAATTTAACCAAGAAGGGGCTTTTGAATCCGTGTCTCCTTCATGATTTCATTCAAAGACTTGTCTTAGCTTTCTCTTGGCTAAGAGCATCCATCTACTTTTCTTTTTCCAAAACACCAATGTTTCTTCTTTGCTATACATTTCTAGGTTTGATATTTTAAAATATCCCTTTACGATGTATTTATAGCACTTTGTGAAAGTAGAGCGCAAATACAAAGTGTTTTAAATGTTCAGTAGACCCAAAAAAATCAAGCAAAGATTTGAGAGACTTTGAAACAAACGTGTTATATATGCATTAAAATACTCAGACTGTGATTTCTGCCCTCCAGTACTCTTTCCCAAACCCTGTCTTGCTCTAAGGAAAATTAAAATGATAGATGCAGTCCAAAGCAACTGAAATGGTTGTAAGGAAATAAAGACTGAAGTCTGGAGGATGAATGTGTGCGCAGGTGTACGAATATGCATGTGTATTTCAAGTGTTTTCATCAGAATTGTAGGATATGAGGGGCAGAATTAGGGATATTGCTTATGAGTAGAGTATGATTCATGCACATGTATACTCTGTGTGTGTGTGTGTGTGTGATATGAATGAGTGTGTGCTTGAAGGGTAATTATCAGAACTAAGAAGTGCGAGCATCAGAGTTAGGGACATTGCTTTCTAGAACACAGCGACTAATCCAAGGGGCCTTCATGCAGGAGAAGCCTGTTGGTGGACCATTCACCCTGCTTCCAAACAGAGGTCCGAGGGGGAGAAAGTCCGGATTGGTGATGACCTCATCCTTGTCAGTGTGTCCTCTGAAAGATACCTTGTAAGTACCCCGCGGGGTGAGCGGCTTTCCTCTTCAGAATTTTCCCTTTAGAGAAAGGTGGCCCAGGGAAAATGAGCCACTAAAAGGTTGGGCAAGAGTGTGCTTGAGAGATGACTAACTTTCCTGTTCCGTGAGCTAATCGTGGTGCCTGAGATGTAACTGTTGATGCCGTGCTAAAATGCCTCAGGAAATAATACACGCTAGCTCTCGTCACTGGGAATTTATCACCCTGTGTGTCTTTCTGAAGAACAAGACACACACACAGACACACACACACAGACACACACACAGACATTCACAGACACACAGACACATTCACAGACACACAGACACATTCACAGACACACACACACATACACACACATTCACAGACACACACACACACATACACACACACAGACACACACACACAGACACACACACATTCACAGACACACACACATTCACAGACACACACACACATACACACACATACACACACACAGACACACACACATTCACAGACACACACACACAGACACATACACACACACAGACACACACACATTCACAGACACACACACACAGACACACACACAGACACACACAGACACACACACAGACACCCATACACAGACACACACAGTCACACACACACAGATACACACACACACAGACACACACCAGCTTTGTGTTGGAGAAAGGCAATTCTGAACGTATTAGTGCACGGGCATTGTGGAGGGTGGCAGCCACCGGGGAGATCTTGCAGCTGAGGATGAGTGGTGGGCGGGCATCCCTGCCTGGGCTGGGCTGGGCTGGGCTGGGCTGGGCCTGGCCGGGGCTCTCTGACAGGAAGAGGAGGTCCAAGCTGCGTGGTTAAGCTTTCCAACAGTTTCTCAACCTCACCGGCAGATTCTACTTTGCCTTTTTCAAACGCTGGAGTCATTCTTCCCGTTGGGGAGATTTTAGTCTACAGAGAATTTCACATTGACTCTGGAGTCTGACTGAGGAGCTGGAGTCCACACGTGTCTGTCAGCCCTGTTGCTGAACACTGCCTCTTCCCAGAATAAAGTGTCGCACTTCGAGGCGGCTTCCGGCTGGGGTAGAGGAAGAAGTCTCCCACAGACTATGTAGAAAAGAGTCAGGCAGTTTAATGAAACTCTTGAAAATGCACGCGAGTTGCTCTGATAGAACTGGACTGGTGGCTTAAAAGGACGTCTCCTTTTTGTTTCTGACGCAGCATCTCTCCATCTCGAACGGCAGCATTCAAGTGGATGCCTCCTTTATGCAAACGCTCTGGAACGTACATCCCACCTGCTCGGGAAGCGGTGTGGAAGAAGGTGTGGGTTTTTAATGCCTCCAGCCCTGGGCCTCCCAGGCTGTTTTAAGCTATGTTGACATTTTCTGCAATTTCACAGCTCCCTCGTAAACTGCTTGGTGCACAGGTAGCATGATTTTCGTTCACTTCAATGTCTTTATGTGGTGGATACAGGTCATTTTCTTTCCTGACTTCCCAACCTTATTGTTTTTAATCTCTTGGCTCCTTATTAGTTTAGCACAGCAAGCATTCAAGACTTGAGTTTTCGTTTTTGTTGACTAGTTATAAGTATACAAACCACATCACTTCCATCTTAGAAGACGTAATTTTCTATGGTTTATATCTCTCCCTATCCCTCATTCTATGCAAGGGAAAAATGTTCTCTGTATCAACAGTGAATTTGTCCATTTGCTTTTTACTTATCTTTATGGAAGTCCACTTAAAAATCATAAAAGAAAGCTTCTCAGTATGTTTTGCTTGGAAATCAGATCATTCAACTTTTCTTTCATATTCCATTTCTTGGAGCCAGGCAGAGTCAGAGCTCTGTGCACATTATGTAATAAACACACTGGCCCTGCTCACAGATAGGTAATACACCGCTGAGCGGAATAATAAAACGTCAGTGACCTACAGGTTATTGCATTCCGTTCCAGAACTTCATAGCAAGCTCAGGCTTTTAAAAATAGTCAGATCATACAGGCTTTGACCCTATTTTTCTTCATGAGCCTTTCATTTCAAACCGGGAATGCCCTTTTGTGCTATGATGTTTGAGACACAGGGGGATCGAGATAGACAAGGTGACACCTCGGTTTCCGAATCAAACTGAATAATCAAGAAAAGACATAGCCTTCGCTCTTTCTGACGATGTGGGGAAAGCTTGTATAAGACAGGATTTGTTCACCTTTTCTTGGATGCCAGAGTTAACGCATTACCCTAAATCTGTTCCAAGTTCTGTCTTCTCAATCAAGCATCAGCTCTGGGTTTAGATCTTCCCCTAGAACATTTTGAATCAATTTCCAAGTAAGAATTTTCATTTTTACTGTAAGAACGAAATTACCTCTCCGTCTCCAGCAGAGCATTGGTGGGGATTAATTAAGGAATATTTGCAAATCATGTCTAAAAAGCCCTGGCTAAAGTGTTGGGGGCCCTGCAGTGCCACGGCCAGCGCAGCGTATCAGGCGCAGAGGTGCAGGCGTCTGGTTCTCTGCGGAAAGTGCCCCTTCAGCACCCACCGCAGAGAAATCGGTGTCATTGCCCGAAGATTAATGGTCTCCACCACGCGCTGCTTCCTCGGCAGTGGCTCTGGGTGGGTCCACTCAGAACGGTTGGGATGTGCCAGTGTTGAACACGGTGTTGGCTGAAGAAGCCCAGGAGTTATTAGAGATGAGCTCTAAATGAGTCTCATTCCCCCCATCAAGAGATGAAGTGGTGAACAGGAGCTTGGTCACCGAAGTTTTAGTTTTCTAAGTATATTGGCGTCTCACAATTCCCCTGCAATGTATTGTAAATACATTATCGCAAATACACATAACTGGATGTTTCACTACAATAAGATATGGAGGGCTGGGAAGGTGGCTCAGTGGTAGAGCGCTTGCCTTGCATGCATGAGGCCCTGGCTTCGATTCCTCAGCACCACATAAGCAGCAAAAGCCGGAAGTGGTGCTGCTCAAGTAGTAGAGCACTAGCCTTGAGCTGAAGAGCTGAGGGACAGCACCCAGGCCCAGAGTTCAGGCCCCACGGCTGACAAAAAAAAAAAAAGAAGAAGAAGAAAGAAAAGATACGGGAAGTTGAGGAGAGACTTCCAGGTATCTGAGAAAAATCTTTTCTTGCCTAGGTGGAAAAAAAAAATGAAAGAAGGAATATTAAGATTGTCACCATACAAAGTAGGGCGCAAACACCTCCTTTTCCTCTTCTATTTTCATTGTACATTCAAAAGAGTTGAAGATGTTCCTCCCATCCCAACTCCCACCCCTAGCAACCTAATTACCTGATTTAAAAAACCAACCTGACCCAAACATTCGGCATCATTAGATCTGTAGGTTTCCTGAGACTGGAGTGGCCTGGAGAAGTTTGGGATTTTTTTTAACCTACAGAAATAACGATTCCCATTTCCTTGAGCAAAGCAGCTCAGTCTGGGGCCTCTTCCCTGCTAAGGTGTTTCTGAATTAATACTCAGAAGTTATCTGAAGAATAATGGGTCATTTTGCCCTTCAGGTTGATTATTTCCTTTCGGCACTGGAACTCTGTGACTATTGAGATTCCCGTCTTGAAAGCTGACTGATGGTTGATAACAGCATCTGTTCCTGTCCTCGGGGATGCTGGGGAGTAATTCTCCTTTCTCCTTGATAGCTATAAGAATGCCATCAGATTTCATCTATTTACTAAACAGCCTGAAGAAATCCACAGCAGAGAATCCCTTTCCCAGTGCCTTCTTTCTTTGCATGCCGATGTTCCATGCACACATAACTTACTTGGATCCCACGCTCATTCTTCTATGACTCTCTATTATCCACCCAACACTCCTTTTTAGAGCAGTGTCAGTGTGTTTCTTCTGTGTACGTGCGTGGATCATACTCAACCCCCCTGCCCGCTCCCCGACTGCACCAAACCGTCCCTCTGTTCTACTCTGTCCTTGTTTTTGGTTTGCTTTGATTTCCAGAATCTAGATTCCCCATATATGAGGGAAAAAAATGTGATACCTGTTTTTCTGAATCTTATTTTGTTTCACAGAATTATCTCCAGCCCCATCTGTTTTTCTTCAAATAACATAATTTAAGCACCTTCTTTCTTTCACATGACTGTAATTTGATTTCGATTTTGCCACAAAGAGTACACAGCAAGATTGTCAGGATTTATCAGGGAATGGGTGTTGACTATATTTATATCTGAAGAAGTGGAAAATCCTTATCTTTCTAATAGCAGCAACTTAATGTTCCTTTTGTTTTTTAATGCTGCCAGCTGGCATGCATTTTCATCCAGCCTTTGATCTTAGCCTTGCTTACCTCTGAACCCCTATTTTACTTTCAGAGTTAGAATTGTTAGGATTCTCTCACATTTTTTGCCTGGGGCCTGAATTCTCCGGTTCTGTAATTTCCCAAGTGTATCTGTCTTGGCTGTTTTCTGCCTGTAGCTCAGACCTGCATGAATTCACTGTAAACATGGTGTCTAAACTTTTCCCCAGCTTGTGGTAGAGTGTCTTTCTCTTCCAGGGTATCTCCTTGGCGGCCATGTTGTGCGGCTCTTCCACGGTCGTGATGAGTGTCTGACAATACCGTCTACAGACCAAAACGACGCCCAGCATAGGTGAGCTGTCTCCATCCTGGCGCGACTCAAACTGTAGAGCTTACCTGTGTATTTAGTGGCAGATGCATTCTCTATGCGTTGCTCGGTTGACTTTCTTTTAGCTATCAGTAGTTTGTAAAATAGGAACAGCAAGAGGGTAGAGTTTGCTCACAGAAAGTGCTACATGTGCACAAGTATCCTCAGGAAACAAACCTCTAAAGCCTTCCGTGCCCTAAATTTTCTTTGGTTGATTTTGGTGATGGAAATAAGTTTTTCTGATGTGTGTCTGCACAGTTACTCACCGGGCTCTCCAGGTTATCTCTACCCTTCACATCTCATATGCTAAGAAGTGGTTCCTGTAGTTTTGTTTATTCTAGCTTTAGGCAAAGCAAACACTGTCCAGCGGCCGCCGGATTTATCAGAGGGCGCTGCCAGCACATCAGCGGTAGCCTGAGGTGACCTCGGTCTCAGCGCTCATCAAAAATCCAAAACTGTGCGATGGAGGACAGCCACATCTTACATTTATACTAAGACGTCCCTTTGTGTTCTGATGATCACAAAAAGAGCAGAGCATAAAATTCTTTTTTAGTAAGTTTTTTATTGTGGGAATACTGTGCAGAGGAGGGGTTACATCAGTGCATAACATTCTTAACCCTGTAACTGTAGAAGTCTTACATAACTAAAAAACAGTCCAAATCATAGTCCAAAGTAGACTGAATTCAGGTAACAGTGACCCTGGTCTGGTGACACTGGCTTCTGGTTTTTGTGTAATGCCTACGGGAACCGCATTTCCTCTGCTTCCGGGGGCCGGCGCTCACAGAGCTCACAGGCTGGGGACTGCCTAGGTTAGTGGCCTCCCGCCCAAGGCCACAGACTAATTTCAGATGTGAGCCTGGAAGCCAGAGCTTGGACTCCACAGTGGGGCTAGTTGTTCATTTGATGTCATGAAGAATCTCAAACAAGGTGCTCAATGCGTTATTGGTACACCTATCAGAAGCTATCCTTTGAGTCCTTATAGTTGTTCTTGCAGTGTTGTCTGAGTGCCCCTTCGTGGGAACCAGATTTGACCTACACAGTGTCTAGAGCACACAAAGCACAGATCTGTCAGGTGTCATGATTACTCACTCCCTGCCTCCTCCATCGTGGGCCCGTGCTTGACAGTTTCCCTGGAGAAGGGAAGTTAACCTGATTTCCCTTAGAATTAAGGATCTCTACCCTAAATATCACCATATGATCTTATTTATTTGTAGAATTCTTCTTTTAAAAATGGAGCTATGATGGGCTGGGAAGGTGGCTCAGTGGTAGAGTGCTTGCCTTGCATGCCTGAGGCCCTGGGTTCGATTCCTCAAGCACCACATAAGCAAAAAGAAAAAAGCCGGAGGTGGCACTGTGGCTCAAGTGGTAGAGCGCTAGCCTTGAGCTGAAGAGCTGAGGGACAGCGCCCAGGTCCAGAGTTCAGGCCCCACAACTGGACCCCAAAATAAATAAAATAAAAATGGGGCTATGCAATAGCTCATCTATTGTCTCTCTTTGACCTTTTGCTACATCAAGTGGAAAGTTCCTACGTAGCCAAAGAATTGATGTTTTGTGATTGTGAGTTTTTCAGAGTTATCCACATCTACGGTGGAAATCCCAGAACTTCATTTTTCCTTTCTTCTAATTCCTGTTCATCTGTGGGAGGAATGAAATGCACTCCCCACAAACATGCTTCCCTCCAGCACCGATTCACAGCCCTGCCATTAAAAGTAGAACCACATTAGAAAAGGCTGGCGTAGAAGCTGCCCTGTTCAGAGAGGCTTGCCGTTTGGTGGGCTTCCTGCCGAGTAGGAAACGAGGCAGGCATTAAAAACAGAGGCAGAGAGAATGAGGTGCCCGCACAGCAGCTCCCAAATGACTTACGGAGGCGGCGCGCACGGAAAAGGCTAGAACGTTCGCAGCCGTTGCTCTGAATGAAGCGGATGCCCTGGCACTGTCTGCTCAGTGCGGTGGGCAGTAAGCCTCTCCACGGCCTGCTCTTGTCAGGAAAGTGCTCAGAGCTGGCCAGGACGGTCCAGATCACAGGAAAGTGGCAGGTTGGGGGGACAGGAGGCCGGAGCTTGCTGGGAGCGTCTGGCAGCCACAGAGGCACACAGTGTGCTGAGTCTGTGCAGGAAATCATTTCATTCCTCCTAAGCCCCAAGAGTGGCCAGATTTGGTCGACCAAGGTCCTGGGATCTCAGGATCAACACCCTCACATCCGAGGCTCTGATCCTCGGCTCTGCCTCTGGCTTGTCAAACAATCTGGGATAGGCCATGTAACTTTCTGAAGCCAGGGCTAAGCTGTCAGCCCAGCTTTCAAAAGCACCTCGGCTCGCCACCCACTCTGCCTCTCTTCTGGGAGCTGTTTTAGAGAACAGGAACAAGCTGTGTGAACCTCGGTAACCTTGTGAGATTAAACAGATCAACCGCCTAGCATATCTGCGTAGGAAGAATGAACCTTTAAGAACCCTTCTGACTTCAGGGGATAAAGGGCCCCCGAGGACCGGCTCACCCACTACCTTCTCACCTGCGGCTGGGCGAGCCACTTCAAAGCCACCTGAGGGAGCCTTCCCTTCCTTGCTGGGCTGGGGGGAGACCCCCGTGAAAATCTGGATGGCAGAGTGCATGCAGCACCATCTCCATTCGAGGCTGGCCCAGAGACACTGGGGTGATGGAATGCTGAAACAATGTAGGATTCCCTTCCCTAATAGTCACCAAAATGTCTCCATTTAAAACAAGACTTACAAATGTCCTCCACAGTTCCATCTTCCAGAAGTAACCAGCATTACTTGTATTCTGCCGGTAGCTTTTTTCCCTCCAGGTGTACTTCTGAACATCTATATATAAATAAACTTTGGATAAATTTATAATTCATAGTAATTTGTACACCTGTGAATATCCTTATGCATCTTACCCTTTGAAAGTCACAGTCAGTATTTACAATTATTCAATAAGGGTCTTTCTTAGGTCCATTTAATAGATAAGAAAGCTGAGGTTCAATGGTGCAGGGGCTCACTCACAGTCACTCAGCGACACATCCAATCCAGGCCTGTCTGACTTCTCAGCCCATATTTGTAGCATTTCCTGGAACTTAACCCCTAGGTGAAAAAATAAGTATCTAGTTCCTTTTCATTGCTATTAAATAGCAACTTTATCTAAAACCTACTTCAATGAGCTCTTCCTAGAGCTCCTGTGATTGGCTGGTAATACAGGTAAGTGTTCTGCGGTGGAGGTAGAACTTCCAATTAGTGAATTGAGAGGAAGAGAGTCTCATCCCCAAAAGTAGCTTTCATTCCTTCTCCTGCTCTCACTGCATTTGATGTTGGTGTAACGTGTGGAGGGGAAGGGGAAAAACAATCCATTTAAATAGGGATACAGGTGGACCCAGTGCAACAATGAGACGTACAAGACATTGTGTGGAAAAACGAACTTTACAACTTTGGCACGGGGTGGGGGAAGGGGCGGGAGATGGGAAGGGATGGGAAGGGGAAACAAAGGAGGAGGCTACAATGCTTGATAAGAAATGTACTCATTACCTTGCCCATGGAATTGTAACCCCTCAGTATGGTATTTTCACAATAAAAAAAAAAGTGAGATTGGACACTGCCTGCTTGTATTTTGCTGACCTAGAAGAGCTTAGACAAAGAGCGTGTGTAGGGATCTGGTCCTCACCTGGAACTGATTTCCAGCTCTGCTCACAGGAGGTTGTTCTATGAAGCTGGGGGCGCCGGGATGAGAGCCAGGTCTCTGTGGAGAGTGGAGCCCCTTCGGATAAGGTAAAGCAGCGTGCAGGTGCGACCCTCCCCAGAGCGCTTGCGTTCCTCCAACAGCCCGAGCCTCGAGTGCTCCAAAGCCCTGGGTACAGAGTTAAGTTCTGAAATTACTGTCTCTCTGTCTCTGTCTGTCTCTCTCTCTGTCTCTCTCTCTCATTCACATTTGTTAGAAACTAAAGAAAAATGTCTTTGGTATAGCTAAAAGATGAGTAGCTGTACATACCAACAGTTTGAAAGAAATGAGCCCAAAGGCGTGGGACATTAACAGGCATAAGACATTTACATTCTCTCTGTTTAAAATCTTATGAAGAACAGGCGTATGCGTCTCGCTGTGGTTCTAGGAGTTAGTCCCTTTCCCCAGAGCCTGAAACAGGAAGGGCCTTTTATCCTTCCTGTAATTTGAATTCACTGGCAGCCCAAAAGTTGAGAGTATCTTTAAAAAGTTAGACATAAGCATCTTATTCCCACTGAAGAGGTAACTTTTCAGCTGCTTGTTATTTTGTGAATAACTTTGCATTTACGACAACTTCTGTTAGATGCAAATCTTTTGATGAAGGACCAGGGCAAGGCTGGCGTTGAGCTCAGGGTCCCTCCTCTCAATCCTCCTCCTTTGCTTTCCCTGCACTTCATTTGCTCCTCACAATGCCCAGCATCTGCTCGCTTGTCACCTTGTGGATCACCCACCTCTCTCTGCAAGTGCCAGCTAACGGACTTTTTTGTGTGGGCAGTTGTTTGTTCCGTTTGCTCCTTTCACTGTTTCTCTTGATGATAAGGCTATCTGTGGTAGTGAGATGTTTGAATTCAGAGAATACATTGCCCAGTCAGGAATGAGTTTCCTTCGAAAGGAAAATTGGCCACTCCCTCTGTGATGAGGGGCCGCAACAGGCTTAAGTAGAACTAAGTGGAGACGGCAGGTTGAGCCTCCAGGGACCATCAGCTCCGGCCTGTCCTCAGGATTGTGCTGCTGTAAAAGGAATCCAAGAGGGCGCCACGTTGTGATGTAGGCACGCGTGAGGGCCTAGGCCCAGCCAGGACACTGGCAGTTCATTGCACAGGGGGCTGCATCCCCCGGCTGGGGTGGATGTTGAAAATGACTTCTTCCGTATTAATACCAAGTCTCTTGTCTGCTTTATCTGCCAGCTGGAGTGGCAGCAACATCCGCTGGGGCCAGGCCTTCCGGCTCCGGCATCTCACCACAGGCCACTACTTGGCCTTGACCGAGGACCAAGGGCTTCTGCTGCAGGACCGGGGGAAGGCCGACACCAAGTCCACAGCCTTCTGCTTCCGGGCATCCAAGGTAAGACGTGATGAGGTGGATCTGGTTCCTGTGTGAGCAGTGAGCTCTCTGACTGCAAGGAAACGATGCTTAACAAAGTAAAATTGAATCAGACCTCTGACAAATGGAGTTCTTGGAGGAATGTGTACCTTTTTCCAGTTTTCTTAATTGTTGTTTTGTGGAGTTTGTTGTTGTTGTTGTTTTGGGGGGCAGTAGTGGAGTTTGAATTCAGGCCTCACACCTGCTCAGCTGGCACCCTACACTGGAGCCATACCTCCAGCCCAGTTTTTTGCTGGATATCTTAGAGATGGAAGCTTGCAGATGCTTCTGCCTGGGCTGGCTTTAATAGCCATGATGCTACAGATCTTGGCTTCTTGAGCAGCTACAGCCACTTGGTACCCAGGACCTTGCTCCTCCTTTTCCTTGATTATATTTACTCCCCAGCCCTCTTTGTCTGTCTATCCCCAGCCTTCACTGAGAATGGACCCTGTGCTACCAGGGATAGAATGAGGTAATAAGCTTGCTATTTGATGTCTGCATATACAGCTATCCTATATATACATCGCAGCGTGTATTTAAAAAAAAAAACTTGGACTTCTAGCATTAATGTTCAGCTAGTTTTGATTCCGCACATGTATCTTAGAGCTGGGTATAGACGCGTGGGCAGAAGTGCATGCTGGAGCTAACTTCTGATGAGCATTTGGCCACTCTTCCACACTGGTTGCTCTGGGAAAGATCGTCCAAGCATAGCAAGCCCTCTGCACAGGGCCGTGCGGTTCTTCAGAAAACCTGCACGTCTGCGCGGACAGCTCAACACCTTTGGGAGCTTCCTCTCCAGTTTCATTCTTCCTTGCTCTTTTCCAGAAATAGATTTTGGTGTGTGTTCTCGACACCATTTCAGTGATGGGCTGTGGATAATTCTGGTCACGTGGGGCTAGCTGACAGCTGAGTTTTCTGTGACCTCAGAAGAAAACAGACTTTCGGCTCTGTGTCCTTCGAAGCAGGGCTTGGGTCCTCTGCCCTGCTTCTGTGGTTCTAAGGTCCCTTTATGCAGAGCAACTCTTTGGTATGCGTTTTTGCCTAAACTACCCTACATTAGAATTAGGCTTTTTCCCACATTCAAAGATGCTCCGTTCCTGCCCCTGTTTGCGTGCTCTGCCCAAATGCCACCTTCTGTGGACTTCTAGCGAATTGGCTACTTGATTTCACTCTGGTTTGCTGAGTATATCTCCTTTCCATTACTGTCAATATATTTTTTTAGATTTCCAGAAGTGGGGTTTTAAATTCAAATGTATGTACAGTTAGCAAATATTTTGGCCTCAGGAAGTATTTCTGAACAATACAACTTGATAAAAGAATCAAAGAAAAAACCCAACAGTTTTAAGAACCGTTGGAAGATCAGAGACAGGTAGGTCCTGTTCTCCCCTGCACAGGAAGGAAAGGGAGATGGGACTAGAGCCTCAACTCATCACGGCCACTGGCCTTTCTGGAATACAGCTCAGCCTTGCTTGGTCCTCACCGGACTGGAGATTCGTTGGCACGGAGACGTGACCCCCAAGGTCTTTACTGTTTCCCTGGCAGCAGAGAAATCAAGCAGCTCCTGACACGACCCTGTTCCCAGAGGAGTCTCGACTCCCTTCCTTGGCTTGGCCTCGTGGAGCGCAGCTCAGCGCTGTGCCGAAGCCTGGGGGGAGGAGGCCAGAGAGGCGTGGAGCACACCGAGCCCTGGCGCCACCGGCCGCTGCCAGTCTCTGTGGCCTTCCGTTTCCAGGCAGGGCAGAGGCAAACAGCTGATCACTCCTGGTCCTTGGGGACCAGGAGGCCAGCGCAGAGCGGAGCTGGAGATCACAGCTGCTCCGAGCATCCATGTCCCTGCAGTCACTGATAGAGTTTTAAATGGCCGAGCCCCGGAGCTTGAAGTCTGAGGCTGGGTCTGGACACTGGCAAGGACCCCGAGTCCTGTTACCCGCTCCTGCCTGCCGCCGTGTTTCGCAGCGCAGAACACAGAGGCCGTGGCCTGAGGTAGCACGTGGGGATCTAGACGGTGGCGCAGCAGCTGGGGTCAGCTTTGGAAAGGCCAGGGGATGGACGGTGGGTTGGGTTGTGAGAATGGAGTCGGGGGGGGGGGGTGTAGTCACCTGGCCCTCGGTGGGCAGAGGGGGGACGCCTGGGATTTGGGCTGTGACTCGATGATGAACTTTCCACCCTGTCTCTTCTGTCAGACCGCTGTGACCATGCAGTTGGGACCACAGGACAGTTGCAAATGCTGGTTCACATCCTGAGCAAGCTTTCCCCACAAGGACAGAGGCGGGAGCCTGGGGGAGAGGGGCCTGTTTGTTTGTGAGACGGCGTGCAACTGATCTTTGTGGAAAAGCTGGCCACATCTAAGTCTCAGCCAGCCCAGCCCAGGAGGTCTAACTAAGCTGTTTGAGCAAGCTGTGGGCCATGGAAGATAAGGAGGTAAAGCTAGCCAAAGGCTCCAGCAGGGAGGCCCTCCAGTCAGACGGGGTCCGCAGGGGGCGACAGGGCTAGCGCAGAGCCGGTCAGCTTCTTGGAGGGCAGCGTGGCGGCAGACGTGGCACAGCTTCAGAGCTGCCCAGAAGTGGACCAGGAGGACAACGTGTAGCCTGTGTGAACCCCAGTGAAGTCTGCCCGCAAGGATTCTTGTGTATCCGAGCCCTGCCTGCCCTGCCCCTGTGTCTTTCATTATTTATTGAGAGTCCCTGGAGCTCTGTTGTGCTGAACATGCGTCTAACACATTTTTTTTCTCTCCACCAAACTGTTCCCGGAATCCTCTTACCCTCTGCATGCCGCTAGAAAATCCTCCTCATACTTCCAAACAAGGGTTATAGGAGGAAACTCGTTCATCCTTCTGGCACTATCATTGCCCCTCTATTAGGAACCCCTGCATGACAAAAATGATCATCTCAGCCCCGGCGTGTGCATGTGTGTGTGTGTGTGTGTGTGTGTGTAATCCCAGCGCCTCACATTGTGTGCACGTGCGACCTGTAGTAAGTTTGACGTAGCTTGCTGGGCTCCCTCGTCCGTGGTGATGGTGATGGTGGTAATGGAACATGAATGTGAAGGGGGCCTGTTTCAGGTGGGTCTGTAGGAAGGGGAGGAAGGCACTGAGGGGTGGAGAATCTGACTGTGCATGTGTGTGCAAGCGTGTCTGGGTCTGTGGGTGACGGCAGCCTAAGGAAAGCCACCAAATGCCATTTGGAAAAAAAAAAGGAAGAAGGAATAGAAATATGATAGAGGAGATGGCTTTGTTCAGAATGTGCTGTGTGTGTATGTAATTGTTCAGAATGTGCTGTGTGTGTGTAATTGTAACAGTGACAGTCAGACTACACCTGTTAAATAAAATTTCACCTATATTCCAGTAGATCCATAGCCACAAAAAAGTAAATGAGGCAGCATGGCTGGCTGCAGGAACACGTAACTCCACCCTTCACACGTGTAACTCCACACTTCACATGTGTAACTCCACACTTCACACGCGTAACTCCACCCTTCACACGTGTAACTAACTCCACCCTTCACACGCATAACTCCACCCTTCACACGCGTGACTCCACCCTTCACACGCGTGACTCCACCCTTCACACGCGTGACTCCACCCTTCACACGCGTGACTCCACCCTT